AGCAGAGTATTAATATAATCTGCCTTAAGCTTTTATTTAGAGAATTTTTCTGGATGTTGTGTTGAGAATGGGGACAAGGGGGAAAGGTTAGAATCAGGGAGACTAAACCATTTGTGTAACAGGCCAGGCAAGAGATGATGATGGCCTTAATCGGGATCCTATCATTAGAAGTGGCAAATAAAATTACTTGCAAATGAGAAGGCTCAGGAAAATGAGGATGTAATAAATTACCCTACACCTAACATTGCCTGGTTCAAATCTTTCTTCTTACTTTAAAAGCCCAACCTAACTATACTTTGACCTAATTTGACTGAAAATGGATAAATAGGTCAGTTTATTTGTTTACTGAAAAGGTCAAGGCCATTCAACTGTGAAAGCTTTTTCTGCCTGTGTCAACATCACCTCAGTACCTCTGCTACTTCTGCATTGCCTCTGGGTTCTAGAAAGAGACTTAACTGAGGTAAGAAGAGGAATAGAGTCCCATCAGACAGGAGGCATTAGTTAGGTAAGAGATACTGAAAGCATTAGAAATAGAGACAACACAGCCATACATTGAACCTGAAAATTAGCTTGACCAAATACTAGAAGTAATAAGAGAAGAGCTCAGGATGGCACTGTAACTAAAATAACTGGATTGATATGAGAAGACCCACATTGGAGGATTGAGGATAGAGTTCTGGACTAATAATGCTGCATCTGGGCTCTTTGCCATATCTGTCACAAGAATGAAGACCACTCTCAGCAATCAGCCTGCAGACATCACTCAGAAGAGATGCACATTAACCGTGAAGAATCCTAAAGAACAGTCCAGAGGGACATCAATACAGAACTCAATCTTCTTGGAAAAAAATGAAGCTCCGTGCTGACAAATGATGGAGAAACAGAAAGGAACTGATTACTGTTCACACTGTCTGTAGCCACATACTGAACATGATCCAGGGGGCAACTGGGCTTCCATGACAAGATGAGGCCTGTGTATGCTCACTTCTCCATCAGCACTATTATTCAGGAGAATGGGTCTCTTCTTGGAATCTGAACTTGCTTGGGTAAAAATATATACATAGGATTTAGATAAGGACAAGCCCAGAAAGAAGAGTGATTCCTTGAAGGAAATGATACTGAACTTGTTTCAAATTCAGCTGCTTTGATTCAGCAAACCCCAACAGTTAAAAACAAGGATTTCAGGAAATTCTCGTCAATATGTATGTTCCTGAACAGTTCAGCAGAGTGACAAGATCTAACAGTCATCCTGTTTCTGTATAAGGCCCTGGGTTATGAAACCAACTTGTGGTATTTTAATGACTCAGTAAAAGACCACTACTGTAAGGAAGGAAAGAAGGCAGGCAGGCAGGCCCTAAGCCAGTTTTGTAACAGAGAAAAAAAATCAGGGTTCCTCATTCCGGCGCTTGTGAAAGCTCAGTTCTGTCACTGCTTTTAGGACACAGCATCTTTCCTCTCTATCCACTGCCTGATTTCAAAGCCCATATCTCACACCATTCATAAATACTAAGGACCTACTCGGTGTCTTCTTTTAACCAGTCTCCTGCCTGTAGTCTCTGCTTACCCCAGCCTACCCACAATGCTGATCTCCAGGGAACTCAAAATGTAACCATGTTAGTTCTCTCCTTAGTATTCTCCCATGGCTCCCAGAGCTGTATAAAGTGCAGATTCCTCAGCTTCACAAGCATTCCAAGTTGTCAGGACCTGGCTCTTGCCCTTCTCTCCTGCCTCATCCTATTTGAAATTTATTCTCAGGACAAAAAGTGCTCAGGTTTCCACCAGTTTCCTACCTGCCTATCTTTCATGAATCACTCCCCACCATCACTCCCACGTTCATCATTCAAACCCAGCTCAGAGTTCTGTCGCCCTCTGACACTCCCAGACAGAATGTATAGGATGGTTTAGGCGTCCCAGCACTTGTTGACATTTTGAGACTGACATCACTTACTCCTCTCCTCTACCCAACTCCCCCTTGAATGCCCTCTTGGATTGTGGCACAGTCAATCCTTAGCTCAAGGGCCAACAACAGAAATCTGGGCTTTACCACATACCACACATTCAAACTATCATTCCAGATCATTTTAGTCTTAAGTAGCTTTAATACTGCCCTTGGTTCAGGTCCTCATCACTTTTGTTTGACTTCTGGTCTCCCTAATGAAATCACCTTCCTACTTACAACTGTGATGGGATCATATCACTTCCTCAGCCCCACCTTTCTCCCCAGCTCCTGCTTTCAACGAAGTTCTCTCAACATACCTCCTAAACATCCTTCCACATCAAGTCTCCCCACAGCGATTATCATTCCTCAGTTGATGCATGGACAATCACCCAGGTGTGACAATCTACCTCCACTCTAATTCTCAATTCCTTAGCTTCGGAACAAAACTCTGACACATCCATGTGGCCAGCAGGCTGCTCACTAACATGTCTCTAACCCCTCCCTCCTTACTCTACTGATAACCTCTATTTGAGGCCTCCACACAGGCTACTCACTGACCTAGAACTTTCTCACGCCTCTCTCACTGGCTACTCCTCCTCTTTCTTCATGAGTCAGATTAAAAATACACCCAAAACAATGCTCCCATGAAACTAGATACTCTCCAATGTGGAGTGAGGGAAGGATAGGAAATGCTTCTTCCAAGATCAGATGTTTCCCTTTCTCTTCTTTTTTTTTTTTTTTTTTTTGTTGTTGTTGTTGTTGTGTTTTATTTTGTTGTAGCACTGGGGACTGAATCAAGGGCCTTGCAAATGCTAAACAAGTGCTCTACCACTGAGCTATACCCCCAGCCCTTTGAGACAGGGTCTCACTAAATTGTTGAACCTCGAACTAGTGATACTCCTGACAGCCTCCCAAGTCACTGGGATTACAGATGTGTGTCACCACATCTGTTTTTCATGTTTTAAATTTGTGTCTGTCTTCTTCAGGGAAACCAAAAGAAATTGAGAACAGGGTTCATATTTTTTTAATTACTTCATCCCCAAGACATAGCACAAGGTAAGCAACAGAGCCTATTCTCAATAAATGTTTTTTAATTTCGGCCTACTAGCTAAAGGCACAATCTAATATAGCATTTCACAAATAGGTTTTATGATACATGAAACATTTCTGTTGGTTATGGTAACAAAAGTATTCAAATAGGGGTTTTAATTCTAACAACTTGTATTTGCAATCAAAAACATGATGTTCCCTGGAACAAACTCCCACTTCACAGATGTTAAGACTTTTTTCTTCTACTAGAAATTCGAACTACAACCTCCATGTGCCAAAAAGGGGAAAACCATATTAACAGGGGGCTCTCTGGCCTCAAACCCCATACCTCAAAACTTCCACTTCTCTTAAGCAAAGGAATTTAGTAAATAGTCAGGTTATAATTAATTTTCAAATGAGTCCATTTTCTTCTTCTCAAACTGTGCTGTCTACTTGTTTCAGAGGAACTGGGGTATGGCCTAACTGACCTTATTATTAAGATTAGTGGTTTGTGTTAAAAAAAAAAAAACTAAAACTTTTATATCAGAACTGTTGTAGATTTCAAATGAACAGTTCTTAGAAGAGTAAGAAAATAGTTTTTTGCTTTTTCTTTCCCACAATTGTCTATAACTTCCTCTCTACAGAAAGAGTATATAGTATCAGCAAACCCATAGACATGCACAAATCTCTTTTTAAAAGTTCTCTAACTTGAGAGAATCACTATATCCATTCCTGTGTTCATATCTGGTACCACTGTTGCCCATATTTTTCTAAAGAAAACACTATAGCTGTCCTCTCTGTCAAACTGATTTAAAAGGGGCGGGGAGCTTAACAGTTGATAGGTTAACTTTTCTACATTATGAGGTGCCCCTCTCCCAGATTTAACTCCAAGAAGGGGTCTATATATAGTTTAGGTTTAGTTTGTTTCATCTTTATGTGAATTTGCTTTGTGAAAATTCACTATACAATGTGGAGCCATTTCTGTCACATTCCACTAAAATGGATTGAGGGGCAAGCAGTTAAGAAAAGGACACCCTTTGCTCAAAAATACCTGCTCCAGGAACTGTATCACAGAACCAATCCAAGAAAACAAGCTGCCGGATCTTTAAGGTTATTATTATTTTCTTAAAAATTAACTACAGAAATGCCAGCTATGACCTTAAGACCACATTTAACCACTACAAATCGGAGCCAGCCAACTACTGAAAGTAGGGAAGGTGCCAATGAACTTTCTTCCAAAATAACTCTCGGGTATGAGATTTCTCTGTTCTAATAAAACTTCTTGGGGCTGGGGTTGTGGCTCAGTGGTAGAGCACTTGCCTAGCATATGTGAGGCACTGGATTCGATTCTCAGCACCACATATAAATAAATTAATAAAATAAAGGTCCACCGACAATTTAAAAAATATTTTTTTTAAAAAACCTCCTTGGTTCTATGGACATACCAGTCACCCCGTCTGTGCAAGTGGATTACAATCCAAACAAAAGTCCCTTGATGGCAGATTCGTCTCTGTATTTTTTTGATAGGCAGTATTGATGACGAACTCACTTAAATTAACACTTAAACGGATCTCAGTAGAGTTTCTGCCTAGCAGGAGCCAGGCCTGGGTTCTTTTTCGGACCGAGGGGAGGGGGTAGTGAAGAGTTCTGATGATGATAACATCAATGCTCCCTCTGGGAACCATTCCCCATCACGGCCCTCCCTCACTCAAGGTGGATGTGCCCTTCCCTGCCTCTTTCTACCTATTTACACGCAGCTCTGAAACGTGCAGGAATTGTGAAAACTTGAAAACCACGTCCCTCCCTATCCACCTATGCTCACAGCCTTCCTATCTGAAAGGGGACTGTGACCACCGCCGGGTCCCTCACTGGGCACGCAGCTCCAGCCCTGGCACCTACACGTCCTCTTTCCGCGCGCCTCCCTGCGCCCTTGTCCTGGCTCCGCGCGTCCCGGCCGCCTCCTCCGAGGCAGCCTCCAGCAGGGCGCTCGCAGGGAGCAGCCGGACCCTCAGCCCCTCCGGCGCCGCCTTACCCGCCGAGGGCCGAGGCCACAGGGCAGCTGGGACGCCCGACCAAAGAACACACGGCCCGGAAAAGCCATGTCACCTGCAGAACTCCGGCCGGAAGACTGCGGGGCTCCGGGGCGGGCCGGGGAACTAAGTTCCGGGGGCTGGGCCGGGGCCGAGGCCCGCGGTCCCTGAGGCGCCGGCCCCTGAGGACACGACCTTGGGGCCTCCTGGACACTTTCTCCCCGCCGCCTGGACCCAGAGCGTTTTGTCGAGCGGGAATAGCGGTTTCGGCGCCCCTGTTGTGGGTGGACCGACCCCGGCGCCGTAGGAGGGTTTGCAAAATTGCACAAACGCGCGACACACCCCCGTTGCCCACCCCAGTGCCAACACCCTTCTGGGTAATTTAAGTCTGTTCCTTAAGGGCACGTTTAAGTTCGTTGTCGAGGTCGCGCTAACTCACATAGTAGCAGCAGAATAGTATCTCAGATTTAAAACAAGGCTTCCTTTTCCTAGCGGGAAGCGGCGGCAACCTTGCAGGGCACACCGCCGCCTATCGCCGAAATGCAGCCTTGCTTGGACCTCCCGGACCAAAGGAACACAAATAAAAATGCAAAGATCAACCCTGGAAGAACAGGGGTTTGAACTGCACCGATCCATTTACTCGCCCTCCGCCCCGCAAATTTTTTTTCCCTATTTTTGAGACTTGGACCTTGGGGGTCGGGGGACTTCGCAAATTACGGAACGTAGAAATATTGAAAAAATTTAAAGTTACATGTATCATGAATGCATAAAATACACGTAGCTAAGTCCATTTTATCATGTCCTATCATAAAATGTGCATAAATCTACTTTTATTTACATATTTTTTATTTATATAGATCAGCAGAATGTATTACAACTCTTTATTACATATATAGAGCTCAATTTTTGATATCTCTGATTGTATACACAGTATACTCACACTAATTCGTGTCCTCATACATGTACTTTGGATAATAATGATCATCACATTCAGCCATCTTTAATTACCCACTGCCCTCTCCCTTCCCCTCCCACCCCTCTCACAAATCTATTTTTAAAATTAAAATTTGTTAAAATAGGCGTGCAAACATGGACCATACATGGTGCCACTTGTAGTCAATAGAAATGAAAAAGCAGTAAAGATTCAGTTTGAAATCACAGCTGCATAAAATTAACTGTAGTACATATTATATTACTTTGATAATTTCATAGCCACTTCCTTTGGCTATTTCTGTGAGCTTGGGTGTCACCATCTTTTAGTTGATCTGCAGTTCACATTGCAGTAAAAAGTGATCTCTTCTCATGTTTTTCATTGAAAATAACATAATCATACAAAGTATGTGCTAATTGACTGTTTATGTTATTGGTAAGGCTTCCAGTAGTCAGCCAAATTAAATTTGGGGTATTTTAATTTATCATTCTTTTAACTCCCATATTCAGCACAATAGTGACCCTTCAACAAACATTTATCCAATGACTAAGTACTGATACTATTGCCATTTCCTAAAGATGGACCATAAAAATAACTTAGAGAAAAACTTGTAGCAGCCATAGGAGCTAGTAAGGAATAGACTAGAGACATGAAAGAGAAATGCCATTCCAGAAGCAACAAATTCTGTCCGTTAGGAGCCATGGGATCTAACTAATGTCAGTCTTGGGTTTGGGGTTTTTTTGTTTTTGTTTTATTTTTTTATCAGCAAGTTCAGCTTTTTATTGAACATGTTACAAGAATTTAGTCAAAAAGATCAAGCCCATGTCTTCAGCAGATTCTTCTTTCTTTGCTGCCACTTTCTTCTCAGCTGGAGCAGCCTGGTGAAGGGAGTAGGACGTCCTGCTGGTGCTGCATCAGCTGCTGGAGAAGGCCCACCAGCCCCTAAGTTGCTAATGTTGACATTGGCCTGGGCCTTTACAAACAAACTAAGCCAAAAATGTTCAACATTTACACCAGCTGCTTTAATGAGGACATTGTTTTTTCCTCCGTGACAGTCACCTTGTTGTTGTGCAGGATGAGAACAGAGTAGATGCAGGTCAGCTCAGACACTGAGGCCATGGTGTTGACTGTGAAGCATAGTGTCAATCGCCAAATGAAATGAAGGCCTCCCCCCAATGCGGCCTTAGCTTTATCAGAAGAACCAGGCACCTTGACAGCTGCTGAGAGCCATAGCTGAGTCAGAATGATGCATGGCATTTTTGCCAGAACAGAGTGGTTGAGAGGTGACACCAGCAAGCCATTGAGATGATAATGGATATGTTAAACTGTGTATTCAATTGTATATTAGACCCCTGCTGTCTGCCTCCAGCCTGCTAATTTGGAGTTCTCAAGGGGATTCCTGGAGAGTTCCCATTGGTTGGGGAAGTGCGGGAGGAAGGATTTCTGGAGGGATTTCCTAGGTGTGTGGTGTGTCCCTGGAGAAGGCCGCCTGCATGGTGTTTGAGGGAGTGCGGAGAATAAAGGAGTTCCTATTTTGAACCTACAAGGCTGTGTGGCAGCTCGGTTATTTTGTGCAGAGGAAAGGTTTTATTACTCATAGAAGCTAATATTTCTGAACATAGTTTTGGATGTCAGACTGTTCAACATTCCATAAATGTATTTCACTAATCCTCATAAGCATTCATGAAGTGTACACTATTATTATCAACATTTGGGAAACTGAGGTAGAGAGCAGTTAGGTAAATTTTTCAACTTATGGAATCAGATGGAATCTGAGCCCAGCTCTGTCTGGCTCTAGCACCCTTGCTCTCGGGTCGAGTGTAGACTTGGTCAACTGCTGAGGTTCAAAGTGAGCTATATGTCTCACTAGATGTGTAATGTTTTAACAGGTTATAAACCTGAGTTCCTTATCTGTGAAATGCAGATATTAAGAATTCACAAAGTTGTAGCTGGGTATAGATGAGATATAACTTAAAACACTTAGAACAGAGCCCAGCACATCAACAACCAGTAAACACTATTATGCACAAAAAGAGTGGACCATTGGTAATCAAAAACTACAGGAGAACCTCTGACATCATTATTATAATAATGTTTCTTTTTTTATGGAATAACAAGCTGTACCTATTAAGCAAATTTAACAAGATCATTACCAAGAAAATATACTATCTCATGGCGAAAAAAATAAGGAAGGGAACCTTCCCAGGGGAAGAGTGGGCCAGAAAAGTTGTGACTTTGCCCAAATACATTTTTGTAAACTGATTTTGGGTACTGTATATCAGTTTTGTAAAAACTCTCTTACCAAATATTTTAAATAGTACTGAGTAATTAAGAGGCAATAATGCTTTTACCAAGGCATTGACCAAAAGCTATCAAGAGGCTTACTTAGCCTTTTTAAAGAAAGATTTTATATACATTTCAAAGATAAAGAATTTACAATGACAGGTTGTATTATTCAGCTTTCCATCACTGTGACAAAATACCCGAGATAAACAATTTATAAGGAGCAAAGGCTTGGTTTGGTTTCAGATCATGGTCACTTGGCCCTGTTCCTTTGGGCCTGTAGTGGCATGGTATATCATAAAGGAAACACATGGTTGAGGAGGCCTATTTACCTCATAGCATCCAGGAAGTAAAAGAGAGAGAAAGGAAAATTCCAGAGTCCCAATATCCCTTTCAAGGCATGCTCCTAATGACCTAACTTCCTCTCACTAGTCCCCACCTCCTAAAAGTTCTACCACAACCTCTTGCTAGCTTTACGACCCAGCAATGTCTTTCTCAAGGACATGAAAGCCATCCCTTTGAAATATAATCCACATGGAAGAATTCTCAAGGAAGACCTTGAAGGTAGGAACCTAATATTTGTTCTAACTCCAAATAGCAAACCTATCTCCTATCAAGCTAGGAGAAGTTTATTTTTCCTTTGGATCAAATCAATTAGCTACCACAGAGAGTTATCCCAATTACCAAGTGAATTTAGGCTGAACTATATGACAAGTGTTACTGCGCACTTTTCAAAAAAATCCTGAGTTCAATTCTGAGCAGCAAGAAAAAGGAAATAAGAATAGAACAGATAGATTCTTATTTCATTCATGATGTCAAGGGGAAATGATCAATAATTTATCTTAAGTATAATGTAAGCTGTAATTTTTTTGTAGATGTCTTTTATCAGGTCAAGAATGATCCTTCTATTCCTATTTTTCAGTGAGCTTTTGTGATGAATGAGTATTGAATTTTATCAAATGCTTTTTCTGCATCTACTAAAATGATGCAGAAATTTTTCTCCTTTTTAAAGAATTTATTCTGGTGAATTATGCTGATTTTTTTTTCCTCCAGTGTTAATCCACCCTTCTGTTTCTGGAATATAGCCCACCTGGGTGTGGTTATTCTTTTTATAATACCACTTGATTCAATTTACTAATCTTGTATTAGGATTTTTGCATCTATGTTGGTAACAGACTGTTAAGCCAAGCTTTTAAAGTGGCATGTTTTTATTTTCTGTTACAATCCGCTTTTGTCAACCAGAAATTACATGATCAAAAGTGTGATCTCAGATGTTTATTTGGCAATGTGCAAGAGGTGAATGGTATCCTTTTAGGGAATGCTGGGCCAGTAAAAGAACAGTTGGAAATGTAGTCTGCTCAGTACTTAGAATGGGATTAGATGAAAGTGGATCCTGATAAAATGGAGAAGTTGATTTAAACTTTAAAAAATATTTAATGTAATGAGTTGCCTTTCAGGTAAACTCCTTACCTTCATCATTATTGATCTAAGTAACAACCGAAATTTAATACATTGCAAATGCAAGGAACTAAACGATTAGTTAGCGTATTTGATCAGAAGATTTCATCACATTGCTTTAGAGCTAATTTTAAAAATTATTTCCTTTCACAATCAGAAAAAAAAATCTTATATTTTATGAATACCTTAAAATGAAGCCCGGCTTTCATTCCCCTAATGCAACACCTTTCAGTTCATACTGCGTTGCTCCTTACCACCAGGTGGCGCCCTAGCGCTCAATAGCATTCCCGCCCCATCCCTCGGTTTCCAACAGGGCTTGCGCGACTGCCGGGAGCGCGCACGTCCTAGTGTTCCCACGCATTGCTCGTGCTGTGATCGCGTGCACATCGGCTATCCGCAGCGAGGCGGCCGGTGGTCAGCTCCAGTCCTGAGGAGCCGGACCCATGTGGAAGCTCCTTCCCGCCGCGGGCCCGGCCCGAGGTAAGGGTGGAAGGGAAAGATAGAGACCAGCTTTCCCGGGAGCAGCTGCTGCGTGGAGTGTGCGGAGCGACGCTTCCGGTCCGCTCTCACTGCCTTCCGGCGCGGCCTCTGTGCCAGCCCTGGGATTCTGTGAAAGCGGGATGGGAAAGTCGGAAGTTTGCGTGAGGACGCCGCGTTTTCTTCCGGGACGGTGCGGCGACTCAGTCCACACCAGACGGGAACCAGCACCTGCTCACGCGACCTGACGGAGCGAGCCCCGGACGCCTTCCTTTTGGGACACCTGGTCGTAGGCTTTTAGGAAGAGATCACCAGGGAGTTAACAAAGCCAGACCACAGGATGACAAGGAAGCGATCTGTCTGGGGCAAAGCGTTTCTTTATTTTTCTTTTTTGAAGAACCACGTGGCACACAGGAAAACATGCTTTCAGATTTGTTTCAGACCTTTCCCCCAAAATAGCTGTACAGTGGGAAAAGTTGATTCCCCAACCTCTTTCTTGAACTTCCAGCAGTAGAAATTTTTCCTCATAAGTTACTGGTTGCCTCCTGTGTGTTGTTATTCGTTGACAGAAGGTTAAGCAAGTACCTATAATTGGGTCTTGTCCTCAGAAAGTTTACATTGTGATTGGAAAAAAAAAATCAATGAAGAGGCTAAATTGATAATGTCTGGGACTGAGAAGATAACTAGAACAAAAATACATAGAAGAGGGCATCCCTGTGGCTTGGAGTACTGCCATTTGTCCACAAATTTTGTGTTTGTGGACAAGTTGGTATTACGTTCATTTAAAGAAACCTGACTGGAGGACTGGGGTTGTAGCTCAGCGGTAGAACACTTGCCCAGCACGTAGGAGGCGGCCCTGGGTTCAATCCTCAGCACCACATAAAGATAAATAAAAGACTTTGTGTCCAACTACACCTAAAAAAATAAATATTTTAAAAAACAAAAGAAATCTGACTGGTTCTCAGGTCTCCTGTAGGTGTGTTATAAGAAAAACTTAGAGACCACCAGGGCCTATGGTGCATCCATGTAATCCCACCTACGTGGAGGCCAAGGCAGGAAGATTGACAAGTTTGAATTCAGTCTGGGCAGTGCAGGGAGACCTTGTCTCAAAGTGATAGGATGCTTTCCTAGCCCATGCCAGACCCTAGCACTGCTGAAAGAAAGAAACTTGGAACAAATTAAGTTGAGCAGAGTTTGAAGAAATAAGGATTTGTGAATCAAGCATAACCTTAAACGAGTAGATGTTCAGAGAGTTTCGTTCAGCCTCTTGGCCAGGCAACGTTTATAGACAGGAAAGGAAGCCATACAAAACAGCTTGATTGGTTCCACCTCAGCATTTGCCTGATACATAACCATGGTCTGATCAGTTGACAGGCAGTCTGATTGACTGATACTCAGGTTAGGTTGTAGTAGAGTGTCATGAACTATTATCATAATCTGATGCAAGCTATAGATCAGTCCCCTAATCCAGTTTGTGTTGTGTGGTAAACAACAAAGGTTTTTCCTTGAAACTATCCAGGTTAAGAATCTGATTAACAGGCCATGTAGTCCAAACTACTTTCCAGAATGGAGTTCAGGACTTTCCTGGGCTCCTTTCCAACTTGTCTAATATAACTGCTCTAATCATCCTACAATTGTGGTAATGGAATCCCCTGCTCCCAGGCTAAATTTCACAAATCCCCAACATACTGTTACTCTAACAATGTGTGATTTACAATGTGTTTTTAAAACTAATAATCATTTCCTATTGATGCTATGTTTAACATAAAAACAGAATTCCCTCAAATCTGCACTTGAATCCCATCCAGAATTTATTGCCTTGATCTATATTATTTACTCCTAATCCATTTCAGACCTTTTATGTACCTGTTTATGTTTGAAGGCTTTTTCTAATCATTTAGTTTTATTAATTGTACAAATTAATGGGTTTCACTGTGGCATTTCCATATGTGCATTATCTTTTTTTTTTTTTATGGTACTAGGAAGAGAACTCACTTTACCACTGAGCTACATTCCCAACCCTTTTTATTTTCTTCTTTTTTTTAAATTCACTAAGTTGCCCAGGTGGGCCTCAAACTTGTGATCCTTCTGCCTCAACATCCTGAGTTGCTGGGATTACAGGTGTATACCACACCTGGCTACACATGTGATGCTTTGTCAACCTTCTTTAATACCCTCCAATTTTCTTCTCCTTTCTTGACAGTCCATTTTCTGTTTTCAGGTCTTTTCTTTCTTTCCTTCTTTCTCTCCCACCCCGCCCAGTTTCTACATATCAGAGAAAACATGTAGTACTTAATCTTTCTGTGTCTGGCTGATAACCTCCATTTCTATCCATTTTCCTGCAAATAACATTTCATTCTTTTATGGCTGATTGAATTTCATTTTGTATATATACTGTATTTTCTTTTTATCCATTTGTTGATGGGCATCTAGCCTGATTCCCTATCTTGGCTATTGTGAACAGTGCCACAGTGAACATGTATATGCAGGTATATCTTGCATGCTGACTTCACCAGGAGTTTTATAGCTGTATTGTAACTTTCATACCTTTTAATTACTATGGCTTTATGGCATACTTTGCTGTCTGATAGGGCAAGTTCCTGTAATACTATTCAAATTTTTCTTGGCTACTTTTAAACATACTTTCCTAATGAATTTTTTAATCTATGTAATTGAGTTCCAAACACAATATTATGATTTCTTGGTAATACATCAAATGTATAAGTTAATTAGGGGGAACATTTACTTCTTTCAATATTGTTTTCCCTTTAGAAAAATGATATAGCCTTTCATCTATTTAGGAATTATTTTTTGTCCTTTATGGGGCTTTATTAGAAAACACAAGTTTGATATAAACAAAGTTGATTAACATTTAAACATCAAAAGTGTTATTTAAATATTTAACATCACATATTCTGTACACACATATATGTATGTATGTGTATTTACACATGTGTCTTCAATTTACTTTTTTTTTGCTTAGGAGAACCATACAGACTTTTGACTGGTATTGAGTACATTGTTGGAAGGAAAAACTGTGCCATTTTAATTGAAGAGGATCAGTCAATCAGTCGAAATCATGCTGTGTTAACAGCTAACTTTTCTCTAACCAATCTGGTATGTTACTAATTTTATTTCACTAGTTTGAAGTAAGGCAACTGAAATCATTACAGATTATCTTGGTGCATATGAAAGTTCATTGGACCTTTTGTTTTCATGGAACTGGATTTTTTTAAGTTGTTGATGGACTTTTATTTATTTTTATGAAGTGCTGAGAACTGAACCCAGTGCCTCACGTGTACTAGGCAAGCGCTTTACCACTGAGCCACACCCCAGCCCCTGGATTTTTATCTTAATGTTAACAAAATTAAGTATTTATAATTTGGGATGGGGGTATTGCCCTGTGGCAGACCACTTGGCTAACATTGCATTTAATTAGCAATACTATTAAAAAAAAATCCTTATGGTTGGCAGTGGTACCAGTGATATTTGTGTTTGAAGTTTCTGTGTTAGTAACTTAACACTTAGTGATTTAGAAACTCAGAGGAAGTAGAGCATGTTTGTATTTCGTGTTAGCTTTTTATCACTGTGATGAAATCTAAAGAGAAGAAGTTTTATTTTGGCTTATAGTTTGAGTCCATGGTTGCTTTGCCATATTGCCATGGACTCATTACCTCATAGTACATTATGGTAGGAGTTCTTGGTGGAGGTAACTACTCACTTCCATGGCAGCCTGGAAGCACAAAGAACAAGGGCCAAGGTTCCAACGTCCTCTTCAGGGACATACTTCCTTTCATTAGGCTCATCTTTAAAGATCCCACTACCTCCCAGTGGAACCATAGGCTGACAACTGAGCCTTGAACACATGGACCTTTGGGAGGCACTCCAGATCCAAATTACAGCACATTTATTGAGTGGGTAATGTGTATCGGTCATCATACCAAGTCTAGGAATAGAACAGTGAATGATTGGACCTTCATGACTCTCCCTATGGACACAAGCATTTTCCTTATAAAACAAAATTTCACAGTAAAAATCATTTTATTGTACAAGGGAAGATAATTCTCAAGTATGCCACATAGCTCCTTTGAATAGCTTTGGTGATTTATTTATTTAATTATTTTAAATATTTTTAGTTGTAGATGGACACAATACCTTTATTTTATTTATTTTTATATGGTGCTGAGGATCGAACCCAATGTTTCATACATGCTAGGTAAGCCTGTACCACTGAGCCACAACCCCAGCCCCTTGATGATTTGTTTTAATAACACAAATCGCTTGTGATTTTTTAATCACAACCATGGATACAAATGTATGAAAAGAGAAATGTATATAAATACCTGTGCTCACAATAATGTTTGTGGTACTAAAAAAGGCAATCCATTATTTTGAGCAGTGACCACATATAGCAAAAACTGGATTCATTTTGTGATATTTTGGTTTTGTGTCTGTTCTTTTAGGTAGAAAGAAACATTATAGAAATTCCTACAGAAAAAGTAAATTATTACTATAAGTAAGAAGCTCTAGCTTTTAACTCTTTATTCTTATTGGACCAGTTTTTACAATGTGATTTTGATCATTTAAAAAGGAAAAAAGAATTTTTTGGAAATGAAACTGACATATTATATGTGAAACAAACTGTCCTCAAACAAAAACTTCTAAAATGTGTGAAATCAGAGTCAGGAAAATCCTATAACTTAGGATTATTAATATAATTGCACTGATTTTAAAAAAGCCAATATATGTTATAAAATCAGTAATCTGGGTTTAAGAAATTTTCTTAAGAAGTTATTAATTGCCACTTCAGTGATCATTCCTAAAGGCAACCTTAAATTATATTGTCTACTTAGCTTTTGCTTATTCAAAAGTTATTCATCTTTTGAAATCCTTTCCTTGAAAATTGAATTTCTTAGTGGTAAAAGACTATAAATTATTTGTTCATTTTTTTTTCAGAGTCAAATAAATGAAATCCCTACATTAACAATAAAAGATAATTCTAAGTATGGTACCTTTGTTAATGAGGAAAAAATGCAGAATGGCCTTTCTCAAACTTTGAAGACAGGAGATAGGGTTACCTTTGGAGTATTTGAAAGTAAATTCAGGTGAGAAGTTTTAAATTTGACATTAAAATGAACAATTTTATTTTATACCAAACTAGTTCTAAAAGATAAGAATATTTATGGATAATGAATTGAAAACAGTATATCAATATAATTAAATTCCTAGCACAGTAGTGAACCCTTGTGGTTATACATTTGTCAATCATAGGTAGTGATAAAAGTGAACGGCAGTTTGTGCAGGCTCTGAGAACCATAATGGGAGTTCAGTTGCTTGACATAGGTGAAAGCATAATGTTAACTTTGATTATTTTATCTTTACTGGAACTCAAGACTTAGGAAATGATAATTTCATAAGTTATAAAGTTTAATGATACATAAAAATGTGATGTGAGCTTAAAGGTTTAAATTTCTTAAAATTGCCATGTCTATAACTATAATAATAGAACTTTTTATAACTTATTTTCACTTGCAGAGTAGAATATGAGCCTTTGGTTGCATGCTCTTCTTGTTTAGATGTCTCTGGGAAAACTGCTTTAAATCAAGCTATATTGCAACTTGGAGGACTTACTGTAAACAACTGGACAGAAGAATGTACTCACCTTGTTATGATATCAGTTAAAGTTACCATTAAAGTAGGTGTTAAAATTAAGTTCTATAAACCTAAGCTTACTCACCCACTAAGCTTTTTGGTTTTTTTCTCAGTACCAGAGATTGAACCCAGAATCACTTTATCCCTGAGCCACATTACCCACCCCTTTTTTTTTTTCCACAAGGAGTCTTGCTAAGTTGCTTAGAGCCTTGCTTAAGTTGCTAAGGTTGGCTTTGAACTTGTGTTCCTCCTGTCTTAACCTCCCAAACTGCTGGGATTATAGGCTTGCGCCACCACATCCAGCCTGTACCTATACACAGACTTTTAAAAAGATTTGCTTTGAAACTATCAGGTCTCTTAGTCATAGATTTGTATATTTCCACTCCCTGGCTTTATTTAGGTTCACATGACTTTTTGGATAACCTGTTTATTATCTGAGACAAGCAGAAGCACATAAAATTAGATTTCAGATTTTGATTTAGCATTTTCAAAAGGATTTGTGTTATCCTTTCACCATGAAGTTTAATGGAGTTCATAATTCGTGCTCTCTAAAAGCAAAGAGGCTTGTTTTCAAAATTAGCATACATGTCTCTTCTGTGAAGTTGCCTTCCTCCAGTTTCTGATATCATTTTATGATTTGAAGCTCTCTTAGTATTTTAGTATTTATTTGATTTAAGGCCCTAATCACAAAGACTTTTAAAGTTTTTATGTATTTTAACATTAATAAATTTTCACAACCTAAAGATATGTAGATGTGTACCTTTAGAAGATGCTGATTATATGTTAAACAGTAATATATTTTGGTATGTTTTCAGATTTTGCATCTTCCTCAGATTTGTTTATATCCAAATCTAATTGAAGAATGACATTGGGAGGTGATTCGTCTCCTTTTAAACAGGTTAACTATAGATATGTGGGATTGTTTTAGGTTAATATCTATATAGAGATGATTCAAAGATATTTTAATGTTCAATATAATTAATACAATTAAATATAAGCATTACTCTAAAGAAGTGTCATAGGCTTGCAGCTTAGATCAAACCTCAAGTTAAACTTGTACCTTGATTGAGGATACCTCTCATCAAGAATTTTTTATTGTTGCAAGTTTATGAAATTGATTCATATATTCAGCACATGAATAGCCTCCACAGTACTAATTTATACAAATAAACCCACAGATGGTAGATTCATAAATCAGAATGTCTATTAATTTATAGTAGGAATATACTGTTACTGTGATTGGAATGTTTGAGTATGGGCTCCAGGAAATCCCCATTAAAATAGTAAGGTACTTAAGGAAATGGAGTGAACAATCATATACTTGTGTGGTAGGTGTAAAGCAAGATCAAAGGCAGTTAGATTGTCTTGAGAAACTGTACTGACTCCATGACAGAACTGAATAGTGAATCTTTCTCTATTAGACATTAACATGGTTTGCAGATTTTTTTCAATATTTTTTATCTTTTTCCATATTTCTGATTAATCATATGCCAAAAAAGAAAACATGGTCATTGTATTGTTTTTTGAAAATTTTTCCAAAATGCAAATTAACTTATATTGTTAAAATTATAGAATGCTAGAACCAAAAGAGAACCTAGAAGTACAAATTGAGATATGGAACAATTAAATAATTTTCCAGGAGTCACATGTGTTATGGTTTACTCAATCCAGTATTGAATTGCACATTACTACTTCATGCTATAAGTTATTTATTTCATTCATATTGGAGGTTAGTATCTCAAATTCTGTTCTTGAGATGTGCCCTATATCTGCTTGTCCCTGTTTAGACCAGACCCTTTATTATTAAAAACATCCTTATAAACTCTTGCTGTATTATTTCATAGATTTATGCCCAGTCTCTGCATTTTCATTTCCATTGCGCATAGTAATAGTTTCAAATCTTTTCAGAGTTTGTGACTGTATCTGATTTGAGGCTATTTATTTCTTAATAGTCTCCTCTGCAGCAGATGCATTTTTTTAGGTCTACAATATGCTTTTCACATTTTAATGTTTTTAAAATTTTAATGTTTTAAATTGATTGATATTTTGTTACATGTCCCACCACCACCCCCTCAAAAGCAATTATTAAATTAAATTTGTGAATGGTTGATTTTATAATAACTTGTATCCTAAAACTAAGCAATGACCAAATACATTTTATAAATTGTGCTTCCTTTATAAATTTAGGACTCTAAAGGAAAAACAATATAGAACAGTCTCTTTCTAGTTTATAACTTAAAACATTTTATTTTTTTAAAAAAGTTGATGTATGATCATATATATTTATGTATATTTTCTTCATTTTAGACAATATGTGCACTCATCTGTGGACGTCCAATTGTAAAGCCAGAATATTTTACTGAATTTCTGAAAGCAGTTCAGTCCAAGAAACAGCCTCCACAAATTGAAAGGTACATTATGTATTTCAAATATAATATAACAAGATAAGACATATAAAATAGATGGCACTGATTTTATTTAGACTAATACCCTGTTTAATGACTATTTTAGTATGTAATAGTTGATGTTATAATTCAGTATTGCTAATGGCAGTTTTTGTTGTTGTTGTTAGCTTATAAAGAAAGGATTTCCCAAATTCCTTGTAGGTTGTTTCTTATGTTCATAAAACAAACATTAAATAAATACTAATTACTTAAAGAAAAAAATGGAAGGAGAGTAAATGGCCTTGAGATTTGGTCAGAAGAGCATATGTTCCATCATGCAAGAGGAACCCCTGAAAATGCATGATGCAGCAACCTTCTTCAGGAGCCATGTAGCACACAACAAAAATAGTAGCAGAGCTATGGCCTTGAGCATAGAGCTTGTTTCTTGTGAGCTTCAGTTATCTCATTTCAAAAATGAGACTTATAATTGTCCAGCTGTGTTCTTAAAAGTATTAGTAAGAGTATACAGTATTTAAAGTCTGAGAATGTCACCTTGTTTAAAAAAATGGTTCATGTTGCTAATTGAAACAATATATGGGACGATTCATAAAAGCTTTATTTTATTATTAGTTTGATGCTGTGTCAAGTTTGTGAATCATCAGTCTAGAAGATCTGTTCCCTCTATATTATGTTAGTGATGCGTAGAAATAATATATATTGTCCTTGAGAACAAAGATATTAGACTTTTTATTTTTCGGATTGCATAGTTAGTCAATTTAATAGCACAAGAACTTCTTTACTTAAAAATGCATGTCAGTAGATTACAGTCTGTATGGCACAATAGATTATCTATTAGCTTGTCATATCTCTATAGGACAATTCTAATATTTGAGCAAGTTTTAAAAATTAAAGTGTTTTTCAAGTTAAATCACTACTTATTGTAAGCTGTTTTGCCCAAAGCAGAGTTTTTAGGTACTATTTATATCCCTATTAATAATAGATGTCTGCTTGTCTTAGTCACCCAAAATCAGATTTTTCACCTTCTTTATTTATTTATTTATTTATTGCCTCAAACTACTTTCTATTTGCAACTACATGGTTTCACACAATTTTTCTAAAGAATGACATAAAATAGATTTCCTTGTATATAAATAACTTACATACTCTCCATAAAGTAAATGCTTAAACGTGCTAGAACAAATCGTCCACTCCTACAGTGTTTTGTATACAACAGAGTTGATGTACAATATGTAAATACTCAAGTCCAATATTAAAAACTCAGGCACTTGACTAACTTTATTAATAAAGTTTCTCAAACTATATCAATATATCTAAAGTGTGTATATATATATATATATATATATATATTTTTTTTTTTTTTTTTTTTTAAGAAAGATTATTCTCGGGCTGGGGATGTGGCTCAAGCAGTAGCGTGCTCGCCTGGAATGCGTGTGGCCCGGGTTCAATCCTCAGCACCACATACAAACAAAGATGTTGTGCCCGCCGATAACTAAAAAATAAATATTAGAATTCTCTCTCTCTCTACCTCTCTCTACCTCTCTCTCTCATTAAAAAAAAAAAAAAGAAAAGAAAAAAAGAAAGATTATTCTCAATAACTTCTCCATAAAAATAAGTTTGATGGTTTTGGCCCATCTAACTTCACTACTGAGTATGAACTTTGAACTTTTAATGTGTAGTAAGATATATTCTTCTTACTCTCAACATGACACTCATAGAATCAAAAGGAGCTAGTGAGGTGCTAACATATGAGGATTAATCCAGTGATTCCGGTCACAGTGCATTCCAGGAGGAGGTATCCATGTCACTGGAATTGGGCGATATGGTTTATTTTTCCTTCCCTGATTTGGATAACCAAGTGGAACAGGAGGAAGATAGTGACTCTGATGGCCATTTCCTCTGTATATTCCTGGTTTTTTTCTAGGCAAAAGGTGCCACTGGGAGAGGTGGGAATATCAATTCTGAAATCTGGTACACAGGGCTCCGGGCTGCAGTCATAGAATTGAGTTTCACTTCCACTTCCTTACTTGTGTCTTCATCTGAAGAGGAGGATCCCGAGTGATAATCAGATGTAACTTTATTAAGGGCCCTGGTAACTTTCTTGGAGATCTCATCCTTGTTCTCATCCTCATTTTCAAAGCTTGCAACAATGAATTCATTGTTTTTCTCTCCATACTGATAGCACACCTCACATGGGTCCACCCAGAGAGTGAGCTCCTTTGGCAAACCCAGGTCACTGTATAAGATGCAGCTGTTCTCACAGGCTTTTAGGACATCAGAATCAACTCTCTGAAACTTATTGACATGAATGCATCTGTAAGCCTGTCCTTTTGATGGTTTTTCTGGATACCAGTGATTTTTATATTTTTCTTGATGTATTAGAGTCAATTTCTCAGCAAATCTCTCAACTGCCTTTTTTTTTCAACTTATCATGTTTTAAGAACTAGCTTTGTGAAAAGAAGACAACGGCAGCAATTTCATTCTTCATTTTTACCCCACCGAGGTGCCGCTTCTCTGGGGCTGCAGATTTAGCAGCCATGACCATGTCGAGCCGGGAACCCAGGGCGCTGGCTCAGTGGCTTTCGCTGGGCAACAGGGAGCCCTGGGAGCCTTGTCCTGAGTGGAGTGTGTGGCTCCCGCGTTGGGGACCGGCTGGCGGGCGGGCAGGCAGGCGAGCTTCACCTTCTTTATAATTTTCATTTGGGAGGTTTTTAAATATAACCTGGCAAATAATGTAACTTCCAGAGTGTGGGAAAAGATTCTCAGATTTTGAAATAGAACATTCTTAACGTTTCTTGATTCCTAGACCCTTATGAGAATGGGGCTCTCCTTAGTAAACTTCACTTACATATTACAAGCTTGCTTAGTATTTAACAGAATCATATTTTCCCCAGAAACTTATTCATGAACCTTCTAGGTAGTCCATAAATCCTGTAAATATTAAGACATTGGTAATTTTAGAATACTTGAGGGTAGAGCATCTTGTAAGTTTTCACTACTGGTGGATGCATTTGTGGTCTTGGAGTTTTCAGGATTAGTTATGGAGCCACTAGCCTGCCCATAACCCCAGTAGCTCAGGAGGCTGAGGCAGGAGAATTATAAGTTCAAAGCCAGCCTCAGCAATTTAGCTAGGCCTTAAACAACTCAGCAAGACCCTATCTCTAAATAAAATATTAAAAAAGACTGGGAATGTGGCTCAGTGCATAAGCATCCCTGGGTTCAACCTTGATACAAAAAAAAAAAAAAAAGAATTAAGTCATTGATTCCTCTATCTTTTCAGATTTTCTGGTCTGTTTAATCTGGATCTGCCTTTGACTAATAGGTTCAGCACAGTTTCTGGCTCTACATGACTACAAAATGTCTGTAAGCTCATCATATTTCTTCAGGACAGTTTTTAATATTTGAGTAGGTTTTAAAATTAAAATGTTAGGCTGGGGTTATAGCTCAGTGGTAGAGCTCTTGCCTACCACTGGGTGCATCACTGGGTTCAATCTTCAGCACCACATAAAAATAAATAAATAAAGTAAAGGTAATGTGTCCATCTACTACTAAAAATAATTTTTAAAAAATAATTAAAATGTTTTTCTAGATAAATGTAAACTATTACTAATTACTATAAGATATTTCATTCAGTGTAGAGTTTTTAGGTACTATAAGATTGAATAATGCCTAATTCACTGTTAACCAGGAAAGTCTATTATATTAGCCCATATTTGATGATGACCATTGTGATCAGGTTCTTAATATTTTAAAATGCCTATCATTTGCCTTAATAGATTTCTACACCTATCTGGATCTATTTTGATATATTTGTTGAAAATTTCTCAGTACTCAGTTACTGGTAGAAAAAAAAATTTTATTTAAAAGCATTAATTAGTAATAGAAATGATAGGAAACTAATGATAGAAATGATACAGAATTTATAAGAAATAAACTTACATGACTTTTTTATGTTTTTAGTTGTAAATGGACATAATACCTTTATTTTATTTTATTATATTTATTTATCTATTTCTGTGTGGTGTTAAGGATTGAACCCAGTGCCTCACACATGCTAGGCAAGTGCTCTACCACTGAGCCACAACCCCAGCCCCTAAGTGACTCTTTTGATTACATGAATAACTCTTCTTTAGTTTTGCAAAAGCATGATTACTAATCCTATATTTAAGTTAGGAGGCAAAATATATTTTTACCCAAGAAAATGTGCAGTCCTGTTTAGTTCAGCTATATCTCTATCTTTGCACTATCATCAAAAAGCAGTTGCAGTTTCATGTACCTAACATGATTTGTGATAATTCATTTCAAAAACGATCCTCTGGATGATAGTGTAGATGAAGTCATTTTTAAAAGATTCTATTTAAAAGGAGTATTTAACTTTAATCATCTATATTCTAACAAGGGACATTTATTAAAATATTCTATATGTTTGAACATATGGACATTACTCTTTAGAAAAGGACTTGCTTTTAATTTTTTACAGAGTCTCTCATATTATGGAGTGCTTAATATATTACCTTATTTCAAAAAAGTATTGTTTTTGGAAGATACTGTTAGGACATCAATGGGTTAACACTGTGAACCCATTTTCCATGGGTCTCTTGCATTCATCCACAACTTGTTAGATATGCCAAGAATATACATCCCTGACATCCCTTTACACAGTCCACTTCTCAGTTATGTTTATAGTGAGAAACCTTGAGAAATGAAATAATGTCTCCCTCTTGGGGCAAAGAGCAGGCTTGCTTATAACTAGTTATAAAAAGCATGATTTCTCAAGGTCATTGTTCCTCACTTTTGCAACAAACTACTGTTATGTGCCTTCTTTGTTTTCCTTGTAGAACTTGGATAGGAGGAGATCTGCCACAAAACTTTCAACTTTTTGTAATTCATGTAATCTGTTTGGATCATATATATTTAATTTATATTTTGTTATGATTATCTACCTTGGATTATTTTTATTTTGAGAAAATAAAGACAATTCTGCTATAATATGTGACACCTTTCACCATATTTTTTAAAAAGGGATTTAGATGAGTTTTGTCATTTTGTGCCAGATAGAACTCTTAATTGTTTTATTAAATACTAAGATAGTATTAATGAAATTGAGTCTTTCTAATATCAAATAGTCACATCATTTACTAATTTAATAGTAAACATACAGAGTGGTATATAAAGTATTCTTTAATTATTTTTACAGTTTTTACCCACCTATTGATGAACCAACTATTGGAAGTAAAAATATTGATTTATCAGAACGACAGGAGAGAAAACAAATCTTCAAAGGGAAAACATTTATATTTCTAAATGCCAAACAG